AACATTTGATAATTAATTAAAATGTTTTTTTCTAAATGTACAACTTTAAGTTTTTTTAGAATTAAAATTTATTATATTTATGATTGTCATTAAAAAAAAAAAAAAAAAAAAAAAAATACATATAATGAGGTTGAGGCCCATACTTTTAATATAATATTATTATAATATATGAATATACATAATACTCATTAAAATTATATATAAAAAAGGAATTGTTTAAATTTTTATTTGAAAAAAAAAAATTAATTTTTTTTTTAAAAAACCCTCATTAATTTTTAATAAAAACTTTTTTTTTTTTCTTTTTTTTTTTTTTTCTTTTTTTTTTTTTTTCTTTACAAATAAATAACTTTACATTTGTATACATATATATTATTTTGTCTTAATAACTTTTAAAAAAAATGGATAGTTTATATATTTTCTTATTTTTCTTTTTAATTATCATTATTTGTTTCTATATTATATATAAAAATAAAATTAATAAAAATAATAATAATAATAATAATAATAATAATGATAATATTAATTTTAATAATAATAAAAATAATAATAATAATAATAATAATAATTATAACAATATTAATAATAATAATAATAATAATTTTTATTATAATAATAATAATATTAATAATTATAACAATATTAATAATAAAAATAATAATGATAATTTTTATAATAATAATAATAATAATTTTAATAATGATTATATGCATAATAATAATAATAATATAACATTAAATAATTATAATTATAGAAATTATGATAATAATATAATTTATAATAATGAAAATAATAATTACAAAGAAAATAATAGTTTTAATTACAATTATATTAATAATAATAATAATAAATGTAAAAATGGTGTAAAATATTTACCATCTCTTTTTTTCAAAGATACACCAACGGAAACACAAGAAAGAACTACCCCAAGCATTAATCCCTTCAATCTTGCCTCTAATAATGATAATAATAATAGTAATAACAATAGTAGCCAATCATCAGATTTATTAGTATTAGAGATTTTAAGAAGGGATAAAGAGCAAACAGAAAGGGAAAGATCAAACAGAGCTCTCAGAAAAGAAATGTTAGATTTTGCAAGAGAAATCAGAGAAACTGAACGTTCAGAAAGATTAATAAGAGAAAGAGAACGTTTAGAAACTTTAGAAAAAGAAAGAAGATTAAGAGAGCAACAAGAATGGGAACGTACCCAATATTTAATAAGATTGGAAAGAGAACACCAAGAAAGGGTACGTCAAGAAACAATAGAGAGAGAAAGAATTGGGAGAGAGAATAGAAAGAGAAAGAGTTGCAAGAGAGCAACAGGAATGGGAACGTACCCAATATTTATTAAGATTGGAAAGAGAACATCAAGAAATGGTACGTCAAGAAACAATAGAGAGAGAAAGAAATGAAAGGGAAAGAATAGAAAGAGAAAGAGTTGCAAGAGAGCAACAAGAAAGGGAACGTGCTCAAAGTTTACTAAGAGAAAGGGTACGTACAGAACAATTTGAAAGAGAAAGATTACAAAGAGTTGCAAGAGAGCAACAACAAGTAGAAGAAGCCCGAGAGTATTTACGTCACCTAAATGCATTAAGAGAACGATTAAATGTATTACTCCAACAAAGGGAAAATAGAAGAAATCTAGAAAGAGAACAAAGAAATAGAGAACGTGCCCAAGATCCATATACACAAGAAGAATATGAAAGGGTACGTAGAGAACAATTTGAAACCTTAAGATTGCAACAAGAAAGATTACAACAAATTAGATTGCAACAAGAAAGCCAACCACAACAAATGGAACAAGATGAAAGCGAAAACCTTTGCACAATTTGCTTTAATCAGGTAGAGGCCATTAATAGTGCATCAATTGATTGTGTTCATAAATTTTGCTTTGAATGCATTACTAGATGGAATTCTCGTAATAGATCCTGTCCAACTTGTAGACAACCAATTACAAGTATTAGAGTAAGTAATTCATACATTCATATTTTAAATTTATTAATAAAACATATTTATTAATTTAATTTATTATTTAATTGTAGAGAGATGATCAAAATGAGGATTTAACAAATGATGCAATGAACATAGATTAATATAAATAACACTTAAATAGAATTAAAGATGTCCAATAGCATTTCGATTCAATATTTCAATCCATAGGGAATATATAGATTCTTTGTTTAATCGTCATCAATTAGCTGGCCACCAATTAGATGATGATTTTACCTAAATCAATAATATTCTATCTATATGAAATAATTATGGAATCAAACAAGATAAAATCAGAAAACATCATTGGACGAACAATAAAATTCATTGCATTATCCTCAACTCTTCAAAAAAAGGTTAAATAAGTTCCAAAGGTTTCCATGTACTAGTTCTCTTTTGGTAACTATTAAGTTAATATTTACATAAACAATATTAAATTTGAATATAAAAAAACTAATATTTAATTTTAATTCCTATATTGTTTATTTATAATGCTTTCTCTTTCATTATAATCATGTTCAATACTTAATTTCAATATGCCTGCATTTTCATTCCCTAAGGTAACTATAATGTTAATATTAAACTATTTGAATATAAAATTAACCGATATTTTATTATTTTTTAGTTTAAAACTTTCTCTTACATCAAAAAGCTCAATAATTAATTCTTTCTCATTCAACACGTTGCCATGTTTAAATCTTTCTATTTCATATCAAAAAGCTCAATAATTATATTTCTCTTTCAACACGTTGCCATGTTATGGTATTTTTTATCAAAGTAAATACAATGATAATATCAATGAAATAATTATTAAAAGATAAAAGAAACTAATATTTATTTCATATTTAGATTCTCTCTTTCAGATTCGTATATAGTTCAATTATAATATTTTCTCTTTCAGTATAATCACTTTCTTTATTTAATGCCAACATTGGGGTATTTTTAAGGTATCTAAAATGTTATTATTTACATAATTGTTGTTAAATTTGAATATTAAACTAATATTTAGCTTTAATATTTATTTAGCTCAATTTTAGTTCTTTCTTGTACATTTCCAACATTTTATATATTTCACATTATTAATCATACATTGGGGGTATGGTTTATTCTTTTTAATTGTTTTTTTCATATCATTCATGAAACATTGGGGTTCTTTTTCAGTATGATCATAGTTTAAAGTCACATTTCAAACATTGGGGTTCTGTTTATTCTATGTAAATATAACTATTTTATTTTATTTTTATAATGATTTATATTAACCATTAAAAATCATCATATTAACTTTTATTTAATAAATAATCACATTTATTATCATTTTTTTCTGATAATAGTATAACCCAATTTTAATCTAAACTTTACCACATTTTTAATTTTTCAGTATAATATATTATCAGTATATATAAAAAACCTAAAAGTAATCAGTAACCAATGAAGCTCAAAAGTATGCTAAAAGTAGATGTCCATCATTGTTTGGGTTTGCCAATATTCACTTAGTCAACAAGAAACTTTTATTTCCGCCCTAAACCTCATTTACATATACTTCAACCTTTCATTAATTATAATAGATGAATCAGTATTGGGTTCTTTAAATTTTACCACTTAAAACCATTTTTTTTCTGGTATGGTTCCATTAAAAACTAAATACGATATTTTTTTTTACAACTCTAAATATTTTCAGTAATATGCAATCATCATTAAAAAAGAATTTTAGAAATCTATTGCAATTCAAAAATATAACTTGGCATATTTAATTATCGAATCAAAATCAAGTAGAAAGGGGTTTGCAAGAGATGTAGTAGGTTAGTACCAATAAGTATATCATTTGGTAAATTTGAAGGCATTCCATCAACTGAAGTTATATACTATTTCAAATAAACAATTCCCAATGCTTCAGGTATCAAGTATTTTAATTCTTTTTCATTAAGAAAAGTAGATGGCCAAACTCCCTGGATATTTTAATTTGGCCTCAATTACAATCAAAATCAAAATCAAACTGGGTATCAACTTTAAATATACTTTTTCGGTATACAGTTTTGATAATTGTCAGCACTTAGATTTTAGGTGTAATCTATTTATTCACACATTCAATCACAAATAGCAATAAAATTAACTTAAAGTCAAATAAAATTAGACAAATAAGGATCAATGACATTGAATGTATACTATTGAAACCATGTAGGGGCTAGTCCAACAGTTTGTTTTTATATCAATCTAATAAACAACAACAAATCATTCAAGTTTCAAAGCTTTATTATATAACTCTGTGAATCAGGAAGAACAGATATATTATCAGACTTAGAGTCATACACAGTTTTTATACTTTATTATAAAAAATTCTTATTAAAATAGATAATACCTATGCTACAGAGTATCTTCTATATGTTCTGTATATGAACATCTAAATAATAGATTCAAATTAAAAATTCATAAAAAAATAATAAAGATTAATTAAATTTTTTTTCCATAATTAACATTTAACAAAATTTACCCATGTATTTATTGGGTGTTGTAAATAAAAATAAAATTATAAAAATACATAAATATATAAAATTAAATTAAAATTATTTTATTTAAAATTATTATTAGTAATCTTCATCTAATGTCTTTGAACAAATAATAATATCGTCTAAATAAACTTTTATATATTCTCTAAATTCTTTAATAACATCTTGCATCAGGAAATATGCAGTGAATTCATTAAACCAAATCGAGCTCTCAGTATATAAACCTTCTATCTCTATTATAATAAAAAGATTTAAACAAAAAATAAAAAACAAAAAATTTAAATTTTAAAAGTAATTTTATAAGAGTTGCAAAAGAAATGTTTATTATTTTTATTTTTATTTTATTTTCAATTATAACTTTTCGTATCTATTTATTATATTTAATAAAGAGTTTGGTATTGGGTGTTTATAATAATTATTAGGTAATAAGATTTGAGTAACAGATTGTGGAATGGTAGCTGGGTCTATAGGTTGATCAAATCCTTTTCTAAATATTAATTTAGTGAGAGATTCTGGTAAAAAACCAACTTGGAGAGGACTAGATAATTTAGGTAATGTTAAATATGTAACTGAATTGGGTATAGTACCTACTTGAAGAGGGTGGGAATAGTATTTGGGTAGTTCTAAATCTACTACTGAATTGGGTATAGTACCTACTTGAAGAGGTTGGGAATGGTTATCTGGGAGTATTAATTTTTTTACTGATGGTGGTATTGAATTAGTTTGAAATCGAATTGGATTTGAAGTATAACCAATATTAGATTCGAAATACAGTCCTGTAATTGATGATGGTAAATCATATTCCAACAATTCATTTGAGTGGTTTGATATAACTAAATATTTTAAAGTATTTGGGAATAAATGTTTACCAAGATTACAATTGTATGATGTTAAGTTTAACCTTTCCACGTTTGGCGGTATTACTTGTGGTTCTAATGGATGGTTATATTCATTTAAATAGAGATTAGTTATTGATGGTGGAAGTACATTTGGTTTTATAGATTGATTAAACCATGGTAAATCGAGTACTTTTAATGAATGTAGTGTTGATAGAGAGTTGGATAATGGGTGATCAAAGTCGTTCATACGTAGTAAATTGATTGATTCTGGAAGTACACCGTCTGAAAGTGGGTGGTTATATTCATCTAAGGTGAGATTACTTATTGATGGAAGTTCATTTGGTTTTATAACTTGATTAAATTTTTTTAATTGGAGTGTTTTTAATGAATGTAGTTTTGATAGAGAGTTGGATAATGGGTAATTAAAGTTCATACGTATTAAAGTGATTGATTCTGGAAATACACCATCTGAAGGTGGGTGATTATATGCATCTAAATTGAATCTAGTTATTGATGATGGAAGTACATTTGGTTTTATAACTTGATTAAAACTATTAAAAAATAATGTTTCTATTGAGTGTGGAAATGTTTGGATTGATATCTCTTGATTAAACCTTGGTAAATAGAGTACTTTTAATGAATTTAGTGTTGATAGAGAGTTGGATAATGGGTGATCAAAGTCGCTCATGCTTAGATCAGCGATTGATTCTGGAAGTACACCGTATGATAGTGGGTGGTTAAAGGATGATAAAAATAATTTTTCTAATTGAGGCGGAAGAATATTTGGTTGGAGTGGTTGATTGTAAGAGCCAATATATAGATATTTACATGTTATCGGTAAGTCACCGGCTTTTAAAGTTTGATTAAAGGAGTGCAGGGATAAATCTACAATTGAACTAAATGAACCAGGTGTAATTGTTCTATTGAATTTATTTTGTATTAATCTAGTTAATGATTGTGGGAAAGTTCCAATAGGTATATCTTGATCTAGTTCCATTGTTAAACTTGTAAGCGATGGTGGTAATGTATTTGGTGAAATTTCTTGATTTATACCGAGATGCAATTCAGTAACACTTGGGGGGACAACTGATTTAATATCGAAACAATGAGAATAATAATCATTATTAAATCCTGATTTGCTTGCAAAAAATTGTAAAGATGTGACAGTTGTTGGAATATCGCCTGCTTGAATTGGTTTATTTAAATTATTAAAAAATTTTAATAAGAATTTTAATTTGGTTGTACCATAGGGTATTAATTGACCATGTGGTTCTAATGGTTCATTAACATCAATTATAATTTCTGTTGCATATCTTCTATGCGGATGGTATCTAAGTTGATCCATTGATTTGTCAATACGTATAATTTTATTTTCATTATATAACCTTTGATGTCTTTGTATTTCGTTTATTAAAACCTTGTTTCTCCAAACTGAAAAAAATAATATTTCATTTTTATTATTATTATCTATATCTGTTATTGTAATTGTTTCTAAATTATGTGTGTGATTATAATTATTATTATTACTATCTATTCTGTCATTATTATTATTATTCATTTAAATATTTATAGGTAAATTGAATATTTTGTTTTAAATTTTTTTTTTTAAAAAAATATTAATTTTTATGAAAAAAATTAAAAAATTAAAAAAATTAAAATATCTCCTAATATTTATAAAAATTAAAATTTTTTTTATTTACAACAAGGTAATAATAAATTCACAACAGAATTGGAAATTACACCGAATTGAAGAGACTGCTTTAAGGTTTTTGGTTGTATTAATCTTAGCCCTATAAGTTCAACATTTGGTTCTAAAATGAGAATAGTTATTGATGGTGGAAGTACAATGGGTTTTAAAACATGATTAAAACAACATAAAACTAATGACTCTATCTCAATTATTATAAAAAAGATTTAAACAAAAAATAAAAAAAATTTAAATTTTACAAGTCAAATAAGCGTTTATTATTTAATTATTTGTAAGAGTTAGAGTTAGAGTTGCAAAAGAAAGGTTTATTATTTGATTTTTATTTTATTTTCAATTATAATTATTCGTAGCTATTTATTATATTTAATAAAGAGTTTGGTATTGGGTGTTTATAATAATTATTAGGTAATAAGATTTGAGTAACAGATTGTGGAATGGTAGCTGGGTCTATAGGTTGATCAAATCCTTTTATAAAGGTTAATTTAGTGAGAGATTCTGGTAATACACCAACTTGGAGAGGACTAGATAATTTAGGTAATGTTAAATATGTAACTGAATTGGGTATAGTACCGACTTGAAGAGGTTGGGAATAGTTATTTGGGAGTATTAATTTTTTTACTGATGGTGGTATTGAATTAGTTTGAAATCGAATTGGTTTTGAAGTATAACTAAAATTAGATTTGAAATGAAGTTCTGTAATTGATGATGGTAAATCATCTTCCAACAATTCATTTGAATGGTTTGATATAACTAAATGTTGTAAAGTATTTGGGAATAAATGTTTACCAAGATTACAATTGTATGATGTTAGCTGTAATTTTTTCACATTTGGCGGTATTACTTGTGGTTCTAATGGATGGTTATATTCAGTTAAAGTGAGATTAGTTATTGATGGTGGAAGTACATTTGGTTTTATAACTTGGTTAAAGCTCAACAAATCTAATGTCTCTATTGAGGGTGGGCATGTTTCAATCGATATCTCTTGATTATAATTTGGTAAATAGAGTGTTTTTAATAAATATAGTGTTGATAGAGAGTTGGATAAAAGGTTATCAAAGTCTCTCATACGTAGTGCAGAGATTGATTCTGGAAATACACCGCCAGATAGTGGTAGACTAAAACTTTCTAAATGGAGTGTTTTTAATGAATGTAGAGTTGATAGAGAGTTGGATAATGGGCGATTAATTTTGTTCATACTTAGAAAAAAATATAATCAAATTTGTTTTAAAAAGAAAAGCTAAAATCTCATACTCTGATGACGAAGAGTAATAATAATAATTAATCACCAATATCATCATATGGACCATCAATAAAAAAATAATCTTTTTTTGTTTTGAGATTTCTCTCGCTGGGGAAAATCCAAGTATCGAGTGCCATCTCGTTGGTGTCAATATCAGAATATCGAATATCACTTTTCATATCATGAAGAGTTGGGAGTTGGAAATGATATGATACCATTAAATAAAATCCTTCTTTAAGAAGTTGTGGATTATCTTCTTTTTTTTTTACAATCTTGAATCCACCCATAACAATTTTTAAAACTGGAACTGGAAAAACCAATACCAGATAATTCTCCTTTAAAAGGTATAATGGTTTACCAATTGAAATTAAATCGGTGAAAAAAAAGGTATTAATTTTCATTATATTTTCTAGTTAATTAAAAAATAATTAATATCAAATTATAAAGTCCAAGTGAATTATAAATAACATAGTAAACATACCATCATTAAAAACACTAATTGAATTATGTGGTGTTGAATTTCCATTATGAACTTTTTGTTTTTTGGAAGATGAAGTTCTACTTAAGGTATCGAAACTTGGAGCATTATAAATTGAAGAACCAGCATCATCAATTGAATTTCTTTTATTAGATGAAAGTTTTGTGTATGAGTTTTGCAAATTTTCAATTTGTTTTTGCATGTTGGAAATTTGCAATAATATTTCGGAGTTTACTGAATCTGTTTGAGATGATGAGATTTTTGATGGTGAATGGAGTGTAACCGATGAACGATTTGGTTGAATAGATTCATTTTGATTTAATGGGGCAGCTGAAGCTGTTGGATTGGGATTTGATGAATCAAAAAGAATAGCAACCAAATTAAAAATGATAAATATAATATCTTCATACTCATTTAAACAACCTCTGTATTTTCCAGATAAGATAAGATTTTTTTTTGCTCTACCATATTGGTTTTCAACAATGACACGATATGAAGATAAAAATTTACATAATTGTTAATCCATTGGAGAAAGATTTTCACCATTTTGATCAGCACCTCTGATATTAGCACATAAAAAAACTTTTTGATCTCCTTGATCTCCTTGATATCCCAAATCACCCAAAATAAGTTCATTTTCAATCAATGGGTAATCTTCTTTAAAATCTATCTTTTTTGCAATTTCAAAATCGTGCATGGAACCTGGAAAAGTACCTAAATTTTAATTATTTTTATAAAATAATTTAGTGTTTAAATTTGATTGAAAATATAAAAAAATAAAAACATACCTCTTGATATGTGATTTAGCTTTCCATCAGTAATATTGACAATGGTTTGAATTTTTACACCATGAAATTTATGTTTATCTGAGTAATAGGGTGATTCGTTTTTATGTCCAACTGGTTTTGATATTTTGAAAATTGTAGTATCAATAACACTATATATTAAATTTTTTTTTTTGATTGTTTCACCTGTTGGTGATTGGTTTTCGGCAATAATTTCTAAAGGTTTTTGGGTTAATCTGGATGAAGGATCCTTAAAAATAAAAATAAAAAATAAAAATTTTATTAGTTTTTAAAAAATAAAAATATTGTTAATATATTTAATACAAACAATTGGATTTTCATAAAAGTATTCTAAAAATATATCTATTATATGTGAACGATACTTTAAAATAGTTTTATGATCTTTTCCCCAAGTTGTTGAAAATTGTTGACTTGTTGGATAGCTTTTAATATAATTTAAAAACATTAACAATTTAAATAAGAAATTCTTTGATATTGATAAAAAATAATCTGCTTGAGCTGTATTATCATTAATATAGGTATTGTTTTTATCTTTTTCAAATTTTTTTAAAACAAAAATATTTAATGAGTTATAAATTTTTAAAAATTCATATTTATCTAACCAATATTTAGATTTAAATCTTATTGAATTTATTTTTTGAATATCTTCTAATGTTTCAATACCTAATAATGCTTTCATATTTAATTTTTAAAAAAAAAAAATTTTAATTTGTTGTTCAAAAAAATTCGATTATTATTTTTAAAAAAAAAAAAAAAAACGATTTTTTCAAATTGAAAATTTTTTTAAGAGTCAACCATTTTGAAATTTTAAAATTTGTTTTAATTATAAAAATAAAATACAATTTATATTTTATTAATTAAATAATTTTTTAAAAAAATTATTTTTATTTGGTTTATTTGTGTTTGTTTCATTTAAAATAATTGTTCTTTGAGTCTTTGTGTTTTTGGTGGCTAAACCTTTGGTATCGGCAACAAAAATATTTTTTTCGATAATCGTTATGGTTTTTAACGATGATGGGACTAAAGAAAGATCTAAAAGTTGACTAAGGTTATCAGATTTAGAAGCATCCAGGTGCAAAGCGGTAAGTGTTTCAGGAAGGTTTCCATTGATTTTCTGTTTAAAATCCTCACCAAGCCACAGCTCTTTAATAGGTAAGGATGCTAACGAATAAATCTGTTGGTTAAAACTGTCACCAAATTTTAGTTTGGTTAGTGATGATGGAAGTCCTTTGTCAATTGAATGGTTAAACGATTCCCCAAATGATAAAGTTTCAATACTCGACGGTAAAATACTGATTACATTGTCTTTTTCATTTTTAATCTTGTCATTATTATTATCATTGTGGCTATCATCATCACTATTTTCATTGTTGATATTATTATTATCATTTAGAACGCTTGGGTTTTTTCCAAATATAGGTTGATTCCATCTATGGCCAAGTACTAGGGTTTTCAAACTATTTGGTAGAAATGTTATTGGGCTATTAAAAAGTATTTCAATTGAGGTTACTGAGTCGGGTATTGCCCCTGGTAAAAAAGTTTTTATAAAAGAATGACCAAGAGAAAGATGTTTTACACTTGATGGGATTCCTTTTTTAATTGGTTTAAGAAAAGAGGTTCTTATATATAGGTTTGTTATAGTTGGGGGTATTAAATTTTTTGTGAAAAGTATGTTGTAGTTATTTTCTAAAGATAGAGATCTTACTGAGGGGGGTATTGGTATACTTTCATTAAAATTTTTGAAATTGATAATAAGCCATGATATGTAATGATAGTGTTCGTAATTTAAAAGTCCTTTTAATGTATGAAACTCTACTTTTTTATTTATTTTATATAAATTGCAAAAATATAATATACGTTGGCGAATTATTAAATTTTTAAAACATTTATAAAACAATATCCCAATTTTATCATTTATATTATTATTATTGTTATTGTTATTGCAATAACTATTATTACTATTATTTATAATATTATCCATAAAAAAAAAGTGATTAAGTTTATAAATAAAAAAAAAAATAAAAAAAAAAATAAAAAAAAAAAATAGTTTTTTAATTAATTTTTTATTTTTATAAATTTTTTTTAATAAAAAAAAAAAAGATTAAAATATCTTTTTTTTTTATATTAAAAAAAACAAAATGAAGTTAGTTAATCTATGTTTATGTTTAAGAAATAACAATAAAGAAGTTTTATTAGGATACAAAAAAAGAGGTTTTGGTATGGGAAAGTGGGATGGTTGTGGAGGGAAGGTAGAGGCCAATGAAACTATTGAAGAAAGTGCAATAAGAGAAACCAAAGAAGAATTTGGGATCATTCCTACTAAAATCTATAGTGTGTATGTATATAAATAATAACAGTTGTAATAATTAATATACCCAATAGAAAATAGAAAATTAATTTTTTTTTTATATTTTTATAAAAAAGAGGTAAAATTCATTTTCATTATAAAAATCCAAAGTATCCTCATGTTTTAGAGAATCATGTATTTATTGTTACAGAGTGGATTGGAGAACCAACAGAAAGTGAAGAGATGGCACCTAAATGGTTTTCAATAGAAAACGAGGGTTTACCATACAAACAAATGTGGGAAGATTCAGAAATTTGGTTAAAAAACCTAATTGAACACAATTTTAAATATGAATTGGATTATGAATTTTATTTTGATGAAAATGATAAAATAATATCATTCGAAAATAATTCAAAAGAATTTGATAAATAAATAAATAAATAAATAAATAATAAACAAATTTAATTAAATTAGTTTTACATTAAAATACATTGATTGATTTTATTTTTTTTATTTTTTCTATACTTTGACATTTTTATTAATTCTTCTAGTTTCTTGGAATCAAGTGATTCTTTTCCAATTTTTAATGACTTTATTGTTGGAGGAATACCAGCTTGAATTAGAGTTTTAATATCATAGGCATCGTTTTTGATTTCCAGACTTGTTAGGGATGGTGGTAAAATAATTGTATTTTGATCGCTATAACCTTTACCTAATACTAGTGTTGTGCATTCGAAAGGAATTGATCCAATTTCTAACGGTCGATTATATCTATCTCCAAATATTATGGTTTTGATAGATGAATGTATTGATAAGGGTTTTATAAATTGATTATATTCTTTACCAAATTCTATAGTTTCTATAAAGTGTGGAATTTTATAGTTTTCTATTGGATAGTCAAAGGCATCAGAGAATACAAGATTTTTGACTGATTGAGGAAGAGTACCGTGAATAAATGGTTCATGATATTTAACAGCTGTAACTGAAGGTGGTATTATTCCATCATATATATAACTAGCTCTGCAAAACTCTAAGGTATCTATTGAATTTGGAATTGATCCTATTATTAATTTGCTGGTGTAAAATATACCTAAAATTAAATGATTAACTGTATTTGGAATAGAACCTGGAGTAAGTGGTTGGTTACCACAATCACCAATAGTTAGAATTCTTACTGATGAGGGTATTTCATGTGCCAAAGGTTGTGACATAAAATATAATTCTAAATGTGTAATATATTCTCTTTCTGGATATTTTAAAAGATCATTTTTATTCTTAAATGTTAAAATTTTATTTTTTTTATATAATTTACAATGATACAATATTTCTCTAAAAATTGTTTTATTCCTTATTATTTTAATGAATAATTTTTCAACAACTTCATTATTATTATTATTATCACCATTATCAATATTATTATAAGAGTTTGTGATTAAAGTAATGGAAGTGGTTGGAGAGGTTGTATTATTCATATTCATTATTAATATTGTATATATATAATATTTTACTGGTTACCATTTATTTTTTGATTTTGATTATTTATCTTGTTAAATTATATAATAATGTTTTGGTTGTATTTGCGAATATAAAAAATAAATAAAAAAAATTTTAAAAAAAAAAAAAAATTTCAATAAATTTAAAAAATAAATAAAATAAAAAAAAAATAATAAACAAATTTAAATTAACTTCATATTTAAATGCAATTGCACCATTATTTTAGTTTATTTATTATAAAATTTAAAATAGATTCAAAAAAATTTATTTGATTGTTATTATTATTATTTTCATTGTTTGGCAAGTTTATTAATTCTTCTAGTTTCTTGGAATCAAGTGATTCTTTTCCAATTTTTAATGACTTTATTGTTGGAGGAATACCAGTTTGAATCAAAGTTCGAATACTATAGGTATCGTTTTTGATTTCTAGACTTGTTAGAGATGGTGGTAAAATAATTGTATTTTGATCGCTATAACCTGTACCTAATACTAGTGTTGTGCATTCGAAAGGAATTGATCCAACTTCTAACGGTTGATTATATCTATCTCCAAATATTATGGTTTTGATAGATAGCGGCAATGAAAATGGCTTTATTATTTGATTATATTCTTTACCAAATTCTAGAGTTTCTATAAAGTTGGGAATAATAGCTACTTCTGTGACATCATTGAATGAAAGGGTTGAGCTTATTGAAAGTTTTTCTATTGGATAATTAAAGGAATTAGAGAATACAAGATATTTTACTGATCGAGGAAGTGTATTGTGAATTTTTGGGCCATGATATTTAACAGTTGTAACTGAAGGTGGTATATAACACTCTTCAATTATACAGGGGCTGCAAAACTCTAAGGTATTTATTGAATTTGGAATTGAATCTTTTGCTAATTTGTTGGAATAATTTCTACCTAAAATTAAATGATTAACTGTATTTGGAATAACACCTGAAGTAAGTGGTTCTTGTTTATAAAACTCACCAATAGTAATGGCTCTGACTGATGGAGGTATTTCGTGCATTAGGGGGAGATATTGTGAATACAATTCTAAATGGGTAATATATTCTCTTTCTGGATATTTTAAAAGATCATTTTTATGTAAGATCCTTAATTTTCTATTAATCTTATATAGTTTACAATGATATAATATTTCTCTAAAAATTATTTTATTCCTTATTATTTTCATAAATAGTTTTCCTGTAATTTCATTATTATTATTATCCATATTTTATTATTTATTATTTATTACTATATTGTTATTGTTGTTACTATTTTTTTTTAAATTTTTGTTAAATTATTAAATGAAATGGTTTATTTTTAAATTTAATAAAAAAATTAAAAACTTTTTAATTTTTTTTTTTTTTGAAATAAATTCAAATAAATTTTTAATTTTATTCGAAATATTTTAGATTCCATTAATTGATTCTTTTTATTTATTTATGTTTAAATATCTAAACTACTATTTAAGAATTGATGTGATGGTGTGGTTTGTTTATTTCCAAAAATGTTATTATTATTATTATTTATAAAACTAAAATAATTATTATTATTGTTATAAAATATAAATTCTATAATATTTAATTGTGAAGATAATATATTATTTTTAAAAATTAAAATTTCATTTTTTATGTAATTATCTAAAAAAATTGAAATTGAATACAAAGCTAAATTATTTTGATATTCTTGAAAAATTGATATAAAATCACAAAGTGATAAATTTGAAATAATTTCTAAATTTCTTAAAGAGATGTCCAGTATTAAATATTTTTCAAAGATTAATGATACTTTTTGAAAACTTTTTTTGTGGCTTGAATCTAAAATAATTGATAGATTTTTAATTGTTTTACTCTGAGATAAACCTGAAAGTAGTATTGGGTCGATAAAGTCAAAATTTTCTAACTTTAATGTTTCTATTGATGTGAATGGACTTGAAAATATTTGCCCAAGACCAAGAGTGACTACAGATACATCTTGAAAATGGCAAGCCCGTATGCATTTGAAATTATTAAGGTGTAACTCTTTTATAGTTGAATTAATTGATAAAGTTGCAACCATTTGGTCCCAATCTTCTTTAACAGAGTTTATAAGTTTAATGCCTCTATATCTTTCATTACATTCGTTCTTTAAATACCTCATAGCTATATTTGATTTACTATTATCATAATGATTGATATCGCTTTTTATTATTTTATTATAGTCATTTAAACCTTTAATAATTGAATGAAATAAAATTGAAATTGAAACTGATTTTAATCTTGTTGATTCGTTATTGATGGTTGAAATATCAAATGGATTTACATGATCTGATCTCGATATATGAAGTTCTTCGAGACACTCTGATTTAAAAAAACAGGTATAACTCCTGTGAATATAGGTATCTATGGCGTATTCATTTGGCTGATATTGAACTCTTCTTGGCTTTAGTTTCATTAATTCTAATAAAGGTACAGAAATTCCATATAGATTTAAACTTAAATTATTATTTTGATTGTTGCTAAAGCTTTCATTAAATGAGTTATAATGGTCACCAATATTTATTTGAAACTCGAAATTGTGTGGATATTTTATTTGCTCTAATTCCTTTATTTCTTTAATTCCTTTGATTTCTTGATTTAAACTTTTCATCTCGGTAATTTGTTTATTATCTAAATCTAAATTATCAACTTTTATTCTTATATTATTAAAACTATCTTTATTTCCCTTTAAATATTTTAATTCATCATAAGAGATTCTTATATATGTTACTTTTTTTATTAATTTCCAACTTTGTAAATTATTAATATTATCTTTATTATAACCATTATTATAACTATTATTTTCATTATTACTATAATTATTTATATTATATCGATTATCTTTTATAAATTGGTAGAGTCTTAAATGATTTGATTGTTTTAATAAATTTGTAATAATTTTGCTGCAATAACTGAACCATGATTTTGAAACTAAACTAATTAAAATTGTTTCATTATTTTGTGTTGATGAAAAATTATTATCGTCATAATTAAAACTATCTATTAGTTGGCTTTGATTGTATTTATAATTAAATAAAGTCTCTAATATGTAGATGTGAATATAACCTGGTAATATGTGCATTAATAATCTGTATGTATCTGTACATTAAAAAAAAAAAAAAAAAAAAAAAAATGAAAAATAATATTTAAAAAAAATTTTATTTTTAAAAAAAAATTTATTTTTAAAAAAATTTAAAATTTCTATTTATATACATTCAAATATATAAATATAATTATTATAATAATTATAAATTTTTTTTATTTTTATTTTATTTTTTTTAACCATTTTAGGAATGAAAACCTATTGGTTTTCTAATGTTGAAGGTCCAAATTTAGACATTTCATTCCCCCAAACTATATATAATACTAAATATTTTGGTTTCCAAATTTCTTAATTGATTGGATTTTTAATAATTCTGGTTTATAGTAATTTCTCGAGAATCTGGCAACTGTGGTTAAATGTTTGACTTGATTTGAGGGCTTTAGATTTGAAAAAGGTGTATCAAGCAGTGCATAAATACGTAGAGTAGAAATAACCTTTGCTTCCTCTTATTATTTTTCTAAAACATATTAATTTTCTAATTAGATAATTATTATAAAAAATATTCAAATAAAAAAAAACTACTTATTATCTGAGACATTCGATGATGTGGTATTTTTTTTATAATTCAAGTAAAAAAACTTTATTTAAATAAACCATCACCAGGATTTCAATATCTTTTTCATTTTTTTTTTTATTTTTTTTTTTTTGAAGATATTTATAAACGAAAATTTTCACTTTTTTTTTTTATTTTTTTTTAATTTTTAAGTTTTTTATTTTTCCTTTTTTTTTTTTTTTTTTTTTTTTTTAATTTATTAAAATTGATTGGGTTATTTTTATCATTTTTTTCTATATAAAAAAAAAGAAAATTATTATTTTAATTACCATAATTAATTATTTTATTTAAATTTTTATTTTATTTTTTTTTTATTTTTTTTATTTTTTTTTAAAATAAAATAAAAATAAAAAATAAATAAATAAAATTAAAAAATAAATATTAAAATTCATTCAAAACACACAAATTCACTATATTAACACACAAATAATTTGTATTAAAATAATAAATTTATTTAATTATATTTAATACTATTATTATACGCACACTATCACACACTTATATACAGATAGATAGATTTTTACTATAAATTATTTACAATAAATAAAATTTATTTTAAATATAAAAAAAAAAAAAAATTTATATAATCATTCCTTTTTTTTTTTTTTATTATTATTATTATTATTATTTTTTCATAACACAGCAAAATTTAAATAATATAATAAATTTTCTTTAAAAATATTTTTTTTATATATAAATATACACACATATAAACATATAATATAATACAATGGTATTTGAAGGTTTAGTGTCAGAAGTATTATCAAAAGTATTAGGACAGTATGTAAAGAATTTAAATAAAGATCAATTAAAGATTGGTGTATTTGGGGGAAATGTTCAATTACAGAATTTGGAATTAAAAGAGGATGCATTAGCGAATTTACCCATTAATTTACCGATATCTGTAAAGAAAGGTTTTTTGGGTAAATTGGATCTAAAAGTACCGTGGAAAGATTTGAAATCCAAACCAGTAGTTGTTCATATCGATCACATTTATGCACTTGCTGTACCAGAAACACAATCATACAAATACGACGAAGCAGAGGAAAAAAAGAAAGAACAAGAATTAAAGAAGAAACGATTGGAAAATTATGAATGGTTAAAATCAATTCGTGAAGCTGAAAATACTGAAATGTCTCAATTAAAACAAGAAGGTGATTCTTTTACTGGTCGTTTAGTTACTAAAATCATTGATAATCTTCAAATTATAATTAACAAGGTTCATATTAGATTCGAAAACAAAAACGATATTGGTAAAGTAAGTATTACAATAACAAACTATTAAACTATTTTAGTATATACTTATATTAATTTTAAAATTTTTCATTCCAATTAATTTATAGTTATATGCATGTGGTTTAACATTAGATAGATTATCAATTCAATCAACTGATGAATTTTGGAATCCATCATTTGTTGACAGTAGTCAAACATCGATCATTAGAAAATTATGTATTATGGACTCATTAGGCTTTTATATTGATGATGATGCAGATTCATTCCAAAATCTTTCACTTTCCGAATTTACAAGAGAGTTTACAAATTTAATTCCAAACTCATCAACTTATTCATTATTAAATAAATTCATCCTTAAACCAGTTTCATCTCAATTAAAAGTAAATATTTTATATACTTTTTAAAACAAAAAATTTAAATATCTACTAATTCTTTTTCTTATTGTTTCAATAATTTTAGTTAAATATAAATAAAAGTGAATTTACAAATAAATCAATTCCAAAGATTTTAGTTGATTGTGTTTTATCAAAAATTACATGTACATTATCATCAAGCCAATATAGAAATATTTTAAGTATTTTAAATTTCACAAACGAATTTTTAAGAGATATGAAATATCTTAAATATAGACCAGTAGTTAAAGTATCAGATTCTCCAAAGTTATGGTGGAAATATGCAGGCCAAGTTATATTAGATCAAATTAGAGAAAAGCGTTATTCAAGATCATGGGATTTCCTTTTACAAAGAAGAAGAGATAGAATTGCATATGTTTCATTGTTCAAGAGAAGTATTCCAAAGGTAGATTGGTTGGTTTCACTTAACAAACAAGAAGTTGAACAAATGAATCAACTTGAGGAGAAGCTTTCATTCGAGGATATCATCTATTTTAGATCACTTGCTTATGCCGAAATTAAAAGAGAAACCGAAAAGAATAAAGTTCGTAAGCAATTTCTTGATTCTAAACGTCAAGAACGTGGTTTCTTCCAGAATCTTTTTAACACCAAAAAATCAGAAGATGAAAAAGAGGCTCCAATGGTCCAATTGTCAAAAGAAGAGCGTGATGAACTCTATAAAACTATTGAATATAACGAGGTTGTTTCATCAGTTGAAGAGCCTCCAGATTGGGTCAAGGTAATTGGTAATTTCGAAATCAAAGGTTTTGCCATTGAGTTGGTAGAAAATGATTCAGTCTTTGTCGAGGCACTCTACACTGGTTTATCATTGAAATTCGAACAAAGAAATGAAGGTATCAGAGTACAAGCCGGTATTCATCTTTTCGAAGTTTATGATCAATTTACAAAACGTACTCTTTTCCCAAAGATTATTAGTAAATCTACAAAAACTAGTGGTGCTTTTGCCAGTGCTATTGTCGATACCCGTCCAGCCGATAAGAAATTAGATTTATTGGTAGAGCTTAATATGGATCCATTAAATATTATCATCACCAAGCCTTTAATTATGAAAATTGTAGACTTTTTCCACGATCCAAATCTTGATATCACCAATATTTCAAATAGAGCTGGTGCTCATATCGAAGATTATAAAGAACGTGCTAAAATCCAATTACAGGATGCCATAGATAATCACAAGATTTTAGGTCTATCAGTCAATATTCAAGCTCCAGTTATTTATTTACCAGAGGATGTTTCAAATGATCGTTCAAATGTTTTAATTGTTGATTTAGGTAATTTTAAAGTTCAATCAGATAATAGCAGCTTAATTAAAGGAAAGGCAGTTTCAAATACCACCGAAAATGACCTCTACGATAAATTTAATGTATCTTTAAACTCAATTCAAGTATTACTCTCTGATGAAACCAAATCAATTCTTTCAAATACTGGTGATAGATCATTAAAGAAACAACAAAATATTATCAATAAATTCGATATTCAGCTTTCAATTTTTTCATCTATTCAACAAGATAATTTATCAATGACAAAGTTAAAAATCAAAGGTGAGCTCCCAAGATTTGATTTCTATTTATCCGATAAAAAAGCCAAGCAATTACTTTGTATTTTGAATGCTGTTACTGCTGATATTCCAGGAGCTGGAAAACCAAAATCAACTGCTACTACACCAGAAATCACTAGTGCCACTTCATCACCATCAACAGTTTCACCAAAATTAAGCTCATCTATTCCACCAGTAGGCTCAACTGCTGGCACAACACCAATCGATTTATTAAAAACCGATAGCAAAACCAAAGAAAACAATGAATTGCTCTTACAAAGTAAGCAAATTGAAGCAGAGTTTGTTATTAAATCAATTAGTCTCACCCTTTCAACAGGCCAATCAGATATCGTTAGAATAGTTTTCACCGAAATAGGAGTTGGATTTGTTCAACGTACTTTTGATATGTCTGGTAGCTTTAAATTATCTGCACTCGATATTGAAGATTGTTACACTAAAAACTCTTTAAAGAAATTAGCAACATCAAATCCAAAAGATCTTGATCGTTCATTAAATGTAAACCATTTAGTTATGATGAACTTTAAGCAAATTCAAACATCTTCACCAGAATTCCAAAAAACAGATATGATTATAGATTTGCAAATTCATAGTTTTTATTTGGTTATCAATCCAGCAACTATTTATCAATTATTATTAATGTTAAAAACATTTGAAAGCGATCCAGAGCTCAAGGTATCACAATTTATTAAAAGTAATGAAAACAAACAAATTCAAGCAGCTCCAAGCGAAGCTCATCATTTACCACCAAATGCAATCGTTAAAAAACCAGCAACACCAACACCAGTTCAACACCCTACACCATCAAGTGATGGCTCAACTACTCCAACTAAACCAACAAGAAGAATAGTTAAAAGAATTGTTACCCTTAGACAGGTTCCAAGAAAGAAAGATCCAACAGAATATAAATCAATGAAATTCACAGTAACTATTAATAGTTTAGGTTTAGCCTTAAATCAAGAAACTGATAAAATGTTGGGTATTTTTACAATCAATAATTTCCAAACTGATGTTTCAATGTTCAAAGATAACCGTATGTTGGTTCAAGGTAAATTAGGTTCAATCGTTTTGGATGATTTGACTCCAATCGTTTCAAATTATAAGCAAATCATTACCCCAATGAATCAAGTTGATCAAATGTTAGACTTTAAGTATGAAACTTTTTCAAATCTTTTATCAAACTATCAAGGTTTTGAAGCTTGTGTTTCAGCCAATGTTAAATCAATTGTTCTTAATGCCAATGTTGGATTCCTCATGTTACTTCAAGATTATTTCCTTGGTGGTATGTTGGACCCAATTTTAAAGAAGGAAGAGCAAAAAATAGAAGCAAAACCAATTCCAAAATCACTTTTACCTCCAGAAGATCCAAGTAAATTAGTTACAAAAGAAGAGATCGATAGGGAAGAAAGCCGTAAATTATTGGTTCAACTTCAACAAAATCAAAAGAAACATATTCCAAAGATGAAATTGGATATTGTTATTGAAACTCCAATCTTTGTTGTACCACAAGCCACACGTTCAAAGAATTCACTCCGTATGGAATTGGGTAAAATCATTATTGGAAATACTTGGCAAGATCATAGTGTTGCTGATTTACCAATGGAAAATATGAAGATTCATATTCAAGATGCCAATATTACTATTTTCTCTGACGGTAGATCAACCGACTTTTTAGAAAAACTCAGTGTTGATGTTATTATCTCTCGTTTCTTGGTACCAAATACAAGTAGTGTTGAAGATCAAAATATCGAAGTTAATATTTCACATTTTGCATTCTTTTTAGATGAAAATCAATATCGTTTCTTCTTGGGTATGAGCCAAAATGTAACTAAAGAATTAGAATCTTCACAAAAAGAAATCCAAGAATTGAAGAAAGTTTCAAACATGGGTGACCCATTCGAAATGGGACGTATTACATCAAATGACATGCAATACTTTACAGAACAAGAGGTTATTCAAAAAATGGGTAAAGTTTTATTACGTATTCACTTATCATTAGACCATGTTAGTTTCAAGATTAGTTCAATAGATTCTGGTGAAATCGCTCAATTTATTGTTCGTTCCATTGAAATCGAATTAAAGAATACCGATAAAAACAAGACCAATCTTCAATTACACATGAAGTCAATTTTATTATCCGATACTAGAACAGATTCCACCAACATTTTCAAGAATCTTCTTGAAAACAAAGTTAAAACAGACTCAGTATCACCATTCCTCCATGTTGGCTATATTCGTGACAATTTATTAGGTGATCAGTATATTAATGTTGCCATTAATAATACATCATTATTCCTTTCACCAACTCCTTTGATGATGATATCAAATTTCTTTATGGGCCCATTATCAGAACAACATGATACAAATAATATGGATCATGATTTAGATTTAGATTTAGAAAGCTTACAAAGTGATTTGGATTCATTAATGGACGACGACGAAGATAAACCTAAAGCTCCAAAATCATCCAATACTTTATTAAATATAACCAAACAACAACAAGAGATTCAACAAAAGGTTCATCAGCAACAGACTCAATTACAACAACAACAATCCTTATCACCATCAGGTTTAGATTATCCATCTGAAGCTGGTTCAGAAGAATCTGAAAAAGAATTACTTAGATCTTCAACTATTACATTTAATGCCCACATTAACCCATCAATAACACTTGTTGAAGATGAAACTCTTTCTGCTACAAGATGTTTAATGCTCAAAACTAAATTAAATATTCAATTCCGTAGAGATACAAATGGTATTGAAAATGCTAAAGTTATTATTGAAAATACTAAAGTTAATATTTATAAACCATCCATCACCGAAGCTGAAGGCTCATCTCAAGGTTCAAGACCAATTCAAATTTTAAAACCAATTGAAATGATTACTATTAAATATATTAAAGAAAATCTTACATCAACTGAATGGAAACAAGATATTGGTATTTCATGCACAGCTGTTAAAGTTTTCTTCTCATATGATGATGTTAAAGCAATTCTCAAAATTACAAATAATATTACAAGTAACCTTCAAAAACAACAAGAAGAACAAAAGCAAAGACAATTATCATTTGCAAATATGGCATCAAGTTCAAATTCATTACCATCCTTAAACAAATCAACAAATTCATTCCATACTACTACAACATCAACTTCAAGTAGAGGTGAAAAAGATCAAGCCACAGCAAATACTGGCGATAATTCATCATCTGGTCAAAATACAGTTAAGGCCAAAGAGGAATTATATAATAATAATGAAAAACTTAGAATCTCATGTCCAAATATTAGTGTTCTCTTTATTAACGAATCACAAGAAATGTACATTCCAATTGTTGAATTATTCTTTGCTGATATTGAAACCAGTGCAATGAATTGGAGTTCAGATTTCGAAGCCAAATCATCAATGTCAATTAAAGGTGATTATTTCAACGAAACCAATATGAAGTTCGAGCCATTCATCGAAGATTGGAGTTTCTCTGTTGACTTCAAAAAGAACCGTTCAGGAAAAATCAAAGGTAGTTTCTTAGCCACTCGTGAACTTTTGAATATTAATGTTTCACATGCTCTTCTTCAAACTATTAGTAGTGCTATGGTTCATGTCGATAAAATTGATCAATTAGATAAATCACTCGCCACATCATTATCGGGCAGTAATGGATCACCAAAAGATAGAAATAACGCAATGAATCTATCACTCCAAGGTCCAAGTGTATTAAACAAATATCTTCCAGGAGGTGGAAAATCAGAAAACAAAGCTACTTTCCATTCACATTGGATTTCAAATCAAACAGGTATTCAATTAGGATATCAAATTCCAAAAGTTGGTAGCTCATCATTCGAATTAGAGGCTAATGTCGATCCAGTCGCTTTACCAATTAAAATTTCCAAGAGTAGAGATTCAACTATGGGTGATCATTTATACATTGAATTAAAGATTCAAGACTCAACCATCCCACATTTAAGCTTGGATGCAGTTGGCTACAAGATTTATAGAATCGGTTCAAGTAACGAATTTTTAACCTGTGAAGTCAGATTACGTCCAGACGGCAGCAAAATATTAATCATTAAATCTATGGATCAATTCGAAAATAATACCTCATTAAATTTAGAACTTAAATGTACAGAAAATGGTTCATCATTCAAGATTCCAAAGAACTCAAAATTCTCGCTCCCATTATTAATATCTAAAGATCTTTCAAGATTCTGGGTTAGATTAGAAAACTCTTCTTTTTGGTCTGAACCAATCGATATTAATAAGCTTCCAGATTCTGAAAATAGTAAACTCTTTAAAATACAAACTGTTGATAAGGTTAATATGTATGTCTCATTAGTACACAAAACCATTGCCAGTAGAAATTGCGAACGTTTCAATAACACTTTCAAATTCTTCCCACCAGTCCAAATCGAAAATATTCTTCCATATCCATTTAGAATTTCAATACCATCAACTCCAGTTGATAGAATCAAAATCGAACCAGGTGACAAGATTGATTTCTACCACTATACTCCTGGTTCATCAGTAAGTGCAGTCATTAGCGAACTAGAAGGTTTCCCAGATACCAAACATAATTTAGTATCTGGTGATGCTTCATCACCAACTTTCTCAAAAACTTTCAAACTATCACAAAACCATAGAGAAATTTCATTGGACATTGAAAGAACTGAAGTTATTAAAGGTGTTCGTGTACTTTCATTCTATTGCCAATATTGGTTAGTTAACAACTCTTTATTACCAATCGAAATTAAATTAACCGATAATCAAGCTCTTACATTAAAACCAAATTTACCAGATGCAAGTCCATCACCACCTTTATTGTTTGGTGCTAACACCATTAGAGCACGTATTCCAATTGAAGGTGAAGGTCCAATGAATAAACAATTTTGTGAACGTTTCCCAATTAGTGCAGTTGGAAATGCCAATACTATTTTATTGACCAATGCTCAACGTACCTATGAACTCTCATACAAGGTTGATTTCTGTTCTAATGAAAAGTTCCGTCTTAGTAAAACTGTTACCTTTGTTCCAAAGAATGTCATTTGTAATGAATTACCATTCCCAGTTGCAGTTTACCAATATGTAGATGAAAGAGCAACTTCATTCAATGGCAACAATAGCGGTAGTGGCAGTAATATAAATAAAATCAAGTTATACAGTGAAATGCGTTTACAACCAGGCGAATATAGACCTTTCCATTGGGATGTTAATGTTGACAACAAAAAGATTTGCTTAAGACCAATTACCAATGAAAGAAATCCAAGTGAATGGCGTTGTTCTGGAGGTTTCTTTATTGATTCAATTAGTGACTATGTTGTAAAGAGTAGAAATAGTGAAAAACCAGATCACGAATCAATCCTTTTCCACGTTACCATTAAAGAAAAACACGGTACCCATTTCGTAAAATTATTATTGTCATGTAAAGAAAATCCACCATATATAATAGAAAATGACACAAAGAGTAAAATTTCGTTCTATCAACGTGATTGTCCAGAGAATATTGATTATATCGAACCAAAAGAACTTTTAAGATATGGTTGGGATGACCCATCTTCAGATTATATCATCTCTGCTTCTATCGATGGTAAACCATTAAAGAAACGTATTAATGTCAACAAGATTAAAGGTTATAAGTTTAATCACGAAGGTACCTTTATTTATGTTACCATTACCATCGAAGGTCCAAGTCGTGTCGTTTTATTCTCAAATAGCGACAAGAAATATAGATCTATTACAGCATGGACCGATAATAAGGTTGTTAATCTTTCACAATCACTCAGTGAATATCACTTCTATATTAGATGTTCTGGTATTGGCTGTTCAATTATCGATAAAACTCCAAAAGAATTAACTTATATCTCTATGAAGGACTTTTTGATTATAGCTACCCAAAGTGCCATTGAAAATACACTCGAAGTCAAGCTAGCAGAATTACAAATCGATAATCAATTGATCAAAACAGATTTCCCAGTATTAATTCATACAGTTTCACCAGATAAAGAACAAAGAAAAGACTTTTTACATGCTGTAGTTATTAAATCAACTATTGATAATATCGATTACTTTAGATATATGTCTACACTTATTCAAGAAATGACAATTGAAATTGAAGATCATTGGTTAAAAGAAGTTTTAGATTTTATTGACTCAATCCCATCATTTGGTCAACCTAATGGTAACAATAATAATAACTCCCGTGTTACAAATAATCAACAACAAAATAATGGTTTAGGTTCATCATTTAATATAGGTCAATTACAATCAAGTACAGGTAGTAACAACGCTTTAGTAAACTCATCAGACAGTAGTTATAATAACAATATTTTACAAACTCTCTATAATACTGTTTCTATTGAACCACCAAAATCAGATGCAAGTGCAGTTAAAATGGTTTATTTTGCATTATTAGTATTAAATCCAATCAAGATTAATCTTACATTAGCTCTTCAAAATGATGGTTTAATTAAATCAAATCATAAAGTTTTATCATTAGTCGAGGGTTTAGGTCTTTCATTAACCAGATTAGACCGTGCTCCAATTACTCTCCAAGGTCTTTTAATGGAACATCCATTCACATCAAGAAGTACACTCATTGACAAGATTAAAACTTCATACATTAATCAAGCTCTTCGTCAATTTTATAATATTTTAGGTTCAGTTGATTTCTTGGGTAATCCAGTAGGTTTATTCAGAAACTTTGGTACTGGTGTACATGACTTTTTCGTTGAGCCAGCTCAAGGTCTCGTTAAATCGCCAGCCGATTTCACTAAAGGTCTTGCTAAAGGTACAAGTTCATTTGTAAAGAATTCTGTATATGGTACATTCAATACATTATCAAAATTAACTGGTACTATTGGTACTGGTGTTGCCACATTATCATTCGATGAACAATATCTTCAAGAGAGAAAACTTCAACAAGCTCGTAAACCAAAGCATGTTGGTGAAGGTTTAGCTATGGGTGGTATTGGTTTGGGTCGTGGCCTTTTTGAAGGTATTACAGGTATCATTACAAAACCAGTCGAGGGTGCAAAGAAAGGTGGTGTTGGTGGTTTCGCCAAAGGTTTAGTTCAAGGTGTTGTTGGTGTTGCCGTCAAACCAGCCACTGCAGTTATCGATCTTACCACTAAAACCACTGAAGGTATTAAAAATACAACTAATCTTCAAAGTCAAGTAGACAGAGTTCGTCCACCTAGAGCATTTGCCCATGATAATGTTTTACGTCCATTTGAAGAGAACGAATCAGAAGGTTGGTTCCTTCTTAAGACTTCACACAAAGGAAAACACTCTGCAGACTCTTATATCTGGCATCATATTATCAACTCGGAATTAACAATTATCCTCTCTGATCACAGAATTATTGTATCCAAATCAAAGAAAAATTTCCTTCACTCCTCCTTCCTTTATCAAATTCCATTCCATGTAATTAAATCTATTAAAATGGTTCCAGAAGAAGGTATTATGATTGAAATGGACCCACCTCAAACATTAGGTCTCTTAGATCGTGACGTTAGATTTAAGACTATTGGTGTTGACGACTCCAATATTAACATGTTGTTAAATATGAAATTAACACATGCACTCATTAAATTTAATGAAAGTAATCCTCACTTAGCAAAATTTAGTCACTAAAATAAAAAATAAAAAAATAAATAATAATAAATAATAAATACAAATAGTTAACAAACATTTGTCTATAGTTTTCAAGATTCAATTTTAGATATATAAAAGAGAACGAAAATAGAACGAAAAAAAAAAATATATATATATAATAAATAAAATTTTTTTTAATAGATCATTAATTGAAAATTTAAGAAAATATTATTAATTCAAGTTGTACAGTTTAAATTCTCCAATAATATCTATTTCTGAGTTGTTTTTAATGTATAATAGTGCTAAAATATACTCCATTATTCAATTACTGAGAGTTTTTTTTCTTTCTTTAAAAAATATTCAATTACTAATAGAAAAAAAATCTGGTCTACTATTATATCATCTTTTGGCAAATATAGTATTTTAAATACTATTTAATATATAAATAAATGTAATTTGAATCTATTAAACATTAGATCATTTTTACCCACTATTTTTTATTTTAGGTCATACTTTTATTTTTAAACAAGTAATTTTTTTTTAAAATTTTTTTATTTATTTTAGTATAAATAGTTTTTTTTTTTTTTATTAAATATAAATTATAACAATAAACAAATAAAAACTTTTATAAAAATGGAAAATAAAGAAGTAATATTAATTAATTAATTAACCCCAAAAAAAATATCTAAAAATTAATTAATTTTTATCTTTTTTTTTTTTTTAAATTTTTTTTTTTTATCATAATTTTTAAAATTTTTATTTTATGATCTGTTTTATAAAATTTATTTTTATAGAGTAAATTAGGTTATTTAGGTTTTGACTATGTAAATTTATATGTAGGTAATGCTCTTCAAGCAGCATCATACTATATTACAAAATTTGGTTTCCAAAATTTGGCTTATAAAGGTTTAAAACATGGAGATCGTAGATTATCAACACACGTCGTCAAACAAAACAATATTGTAATTGCATTTACAACTTCCACAGATAAAGAAGACAGTGAATTTTCATCACTTTTACAAAAGCATGGTGATTCCATTAAAGAAATAGCATTTACTGTTGAAGATTGCAAATTTGTTTATGACCACGCAATTTCAAAAGGTGCAGTTTCAATTAAAGCCCCACACGAAATCTCTGATGAAAGAGGTACTGTCGTAATGGCCACAATTGCTACTCCAGTTGATGACGTTGTCCATGTTTTCGTGGAAAGAAAGAATTTTAAAGGTGCCTTTTTACCAGGTTTCACTGATGAAGTTTTCCAAGATCCAATGTCAAATATTACCGGACCTGTTAATCTCCAATTAAATGACCACATCGTTTATTGTTTAGAGAGTAATGAAATGGATAAATTTGCCCAATGGTATTATGACGTATTAGGTTTCCATAGATATTGGTCCGCAGATGAATCTATTGTGCATACAAAATACTCTTCTTTAAATTCTACAGTTGTTGCTGATTTCAATACATCTGTTAAATTGGTAATCAATGAAGGTGTCAATACAATTAAAAAGAGCCAAGTCCAAGAATTTGTAGATTTTGCAGGTCGTGGTTGTCAACATTTTGCTTTAGTTTCAACTGATATCATCGATTCAATTGAAAAATTAGTCAAACGTGGTGTTCAGTTTATGCCAGTTCCAAAAACTTACTACAGTCAATTAAAGAGTAGATTATCACAATGTTCAATTGAAGTTAAAGAAGATATCAACAAATTGCAAGAGTTAAATATCTTTTTAGATTTTGATGAGGATGGTTACCTTCTTCAAATTTTCACCAAAACTGTAGAAGATAGACCAACAATGATCATTGAAGTTATTCAAAGAGTTGGTCATAACTTTGGTTTTGGTGCCGGTAACTTTAAAGCAATTTTCAAAGCCATTGAAACAGAACAAAAACAACGTGGAAATTTATAAAACCGAAAAAGAAAAAAACAAAGTATTATAAAAAAAAAGAATTAATTTAAAAAATAAATACATTGTTTTGATTCAAAAAAAATTATTCATTAATATTTATTATAATATATGAATAATGAAGTTTATTTTATTTTTTTAATTATTTGAAACCCTAACAATCATTTTACCAGTGTTTGTTCCTTCAAACAATGATAAAAATGATGGTACTATTTGATCAAATCCACTGTTAATGGTATGTTTATCTTTAAGTTTTCCTTCAGCAAACCATTGGGAAAGATCTTTGATTGCAGCTGGATTATTTGAGAAATAATTTGATACAATAAATCCTTGCATAAGAGAAGAGGTTTTTAAAATATACAACTCAATGGTACGTGGACCAATATCAGGAGTAGTACGATTGTATTGTGAAATTACACCACAAACAACAGTTCTTGATTTGAAACTATAAAAATCATTAAATAAAAAATTAATAAAATATTAATATTACAATTAGCAAAATAAAAAAATAGTTACTTTAATAATGGCCAAACTGCTTCACTGACATCACCTCCAACATTTTCAAAATATACATCAACACTAAATATAAAAATGAAACGATTAGTATTTAAAATAATTTTAAAACAATAATAAATACACCTACCCTTTTGGACAAGCTGCAGCTAACTCTTCTTTATAATTTGGGCTCTTATAGTTAACACCAGCATCAAATCCTAATTCCTCAACCATGAATTTGACTTTTTCATCAGAGCCTGCAATACCAACAACTCTACTACCTTTAATTTTACCAATTTGGCCAACGATCTAAATTTTAAAAAAAAAATTAATAAATTATTTAAAATATTAATTTTATTAAATAATAACTTACACTACCAGTGGCACCAGAACCAGCACTAACAACTAAGGTTTCACCTTCTTTTGGTTTGCCGATTTCATTTAAACCATGGTATCTAAAAAAATTTTGTTAATATAAAAAAATAAAAAAAATAAAAAAAAATTTAAAATAAAAAAATTCTTACGCAGTTAAACCAGTTAAACCTAATGCACTTAAATAGGTTTCAAGTGGAATTTTTGGATCTACTTTATTAGCGAATGGGGATGGAGTAACAATTGATTTTTCTTGCCATGGGAAACCGTCAACAACATAATCTCCAACAGCAAACTTTGCATTATTTGATTTTAATACTTTAGCAACAGAGAATGAAATCATTGGTTCATTGAGCTTATAAGATTCAGCATAGCTTTTTGCCAAAGACATTCTTCCACGCAAGTATGGATCTACACTGACTAATACTAAAGATACAAGTATTTGATTTTCTTCTAATTTCGATTCATCTAATTCAAAATCACTAAAAGTGAAATTGTTAGTTGTTGGAGCACCATAGCTGACGTATTCTTTTAATAAAATTTGTTTAACCATTTTTCTATTTGTTTATCTTTGTTTATTGATTGAATAATGAAATTAATTTCATTTAAATACCCTGAGAAAAAAAAAATTTAAAAAAAAAAAAATTTAAAAAAAATTAAAAAAAAATTTAGGAAATTAAATGGCGATTTATTTTTAATTTAAATTTTTTTTTTTTTTAGGGAAAAATGGCGATAAAAATTATTTATAAAAAGAATCTTTATAGATAATCAATACATGGAACCCATGAAAATAAAATAAATTATGGGAGTTTGTTTTGTATATATAAAAAAATATAAATAAAAAAAAAAAAATAAAAAAAAAATAAAAAAAAATGATAAATGGTTTTCGTTTATAAAATTTAAAAAAAAAAAATAATTTTATATACAAAATTAAAAATTTTATTAAAAAAAAAAAAAAAAATTTTAAGTTTAGAAATTATTTCTAATTTTCTCTGGTTTATCATTGTCAATTAAAATAATTTGAAATCTTTATTTTTTTTAGATTCTATTCAATATTATTATCTTTTTCCTTTATTATAAAAAAAATCTCATTATTTTTATTTTCTTCATCATTTATGTCATCTTTATTTTTCTTTTCAATCTCGGCTTTAAAGGTTGGTTGTGATTGTGTATTTTTTAAAAGATTACTTTATTATTGGTGTGGTTTTGTGGGTTTTATCTAAAACACGAATATTTTAGTTTTATCCTTGGAAATTAATTTATCTAAACCTAAACTTTCATATTATATGAGGCTGTTGATGAAACTATTATTTTAACTATTATTGTTATTGCTGTACTTTTGTTTGTCCATTCTTAATTAATAGTATCTGATATTAAATTAAATTAAAAAAAAAAAAAAAGAAATATTGTTAAGACCAAGTTTGCGTAATTTTATTGCAACTTAACTTTCATGAAAGGATTTTTTTTATTTTATTTTTAATTATTTGTTTTAATTGTTTGAATTTTATTTAAAAACTGTTTTTTTTTTTTTTTAAGTTAATACCAATTTGATTTTAATGTCACTAATCTTAACTCTAAAATTAACAATTTTTTTAATCTCTTTTAATCTTTAAAGAAAAAAAAAAAAAAAAAGGGGTTAATAAAAAACAAAACATAAGAAGATAATTTTAATATTAAAAAAAAACAAAATAGGGGTTAACAAAAAACAAAACAAAAAAAGATAATTTGTAAATTGGAAAATTTTTTTTTTTTTTTCAACATTAAAAAAAAAAAAAATTCATCATATAAATTTTATGAATAATTTTCATTTTTTTATTAAATAAAGATAGAAATGAATAACATTAAGTTGACAGAAAGTGATATGCATTATGTCCATAGAGTTTGGACAAAAGTTCAAGAAGAATTAGTATGTATATAATTAATAATAGTTTTATTTAATTTAACTTGATTAAAATATTTTTCTAACCAAAATATTTTATTTAAAGGAATACATATTAGGAAAATATAACAAAGATGGAGACAGAGGTTTGAATCGTAGTGAAGTTGCTGAATTCTTTAAAAAAAATAATGTTAAGTTCCCAAATATTCAAACTCAATTAATCTTTAAATATTTAGATGGGTATAGAGGTAATAACATAATATATTTATTTATATTTTAAAAAATTAAAAGTTGTTAATTAAATTATAATATTTTTAGGAAGATTTGACCAAAATGGGGATAAAAAAATCACATATGATGAAATGATTGAAGACTTTAATACTTTTTTCAAATTTGAAACAGATTTGCATAAAAATGGTAAATTTTCAAATTTAATTAAATATATTTAAACTTACTAATATTTTATTTATTAGATGCTTATAATACTGCAGATTTTTTATTTAATAAAATTGATACTGATAAAGATGGGGTTTTGACTGTTGCTGATCTTACAAAAGTAAGTAGTAAAATATTTTATTCTAGTTATACTTTGAAAATTTTAATTAAATTTTTTTAAAATTTATAAAAATTTTAGTATTGTGGCCCCCTTCCAAATCCAGAACAATAATTGATTGTTTTATTAAGAAAAAAATTAATTTTTAAGGTTATATAAATATTAATTAATAAAAAAATAATTATACAAAAAGGTATTTTAATAGTTTTAAATGATTATTTTATACTATTTTAATAATATTATTTTATATTATTTTTTAATCTTATAAAAAAGTGACTGAGGATATCATAGATAATCAATACATGGAACCCATAAAAATAAAATAAATTATGGGAGTTTGTTTTGTAATTTGTGTTTATAAAAAAAAAAAAAAAAAAAAAAAAAAAATTATAAAACATTTTCCGAAATTAATGTTATTTTTTTGTTTTTTTTTTATTTTTTTTCATCGCAACTTCCTAAATAGATTTATTTTATTTTATTTTATTTTTTCTAATTAATTATTTTTTTTAAAAAGTTTTGAATTTTATTTGGGTTTAATAATTTTATACTCGATCTCGCTTATTGGTAGATGGTTTTTCTCCAGCAAAACCTTCACATTCATATTTTGGTGCATTAACTCCACACTTTTTGCAGAATAAATTTCTTTCAAATTTGCATCTTCTTGGTCCTGTTCTAAACTTACCACCTCTTTTGCAACCACCAACGTTTCTCCATTCGGAAGTTTCCCATGTAAAAATTGGATTGCATGGTTGGCTATCCATTTCTTTTGGTATATTTGAACACATTGAACTATCTGATATGGTTCCATCACATGAAACACAATCTACTCTTCTATATTGAACACCACACTCACCAGAGCATTCACCCCAATTTTGATATTCCCAATGATATGATCTTTTACCACATGATTCTGAATTTGCTGCAATTAATAAAATTGAAAAAAATGAAAAAAATAATAATATTTTTCATTTTTTTAAAATTTAAACTGTTTGTTGCAATTAATAAAATTGAAAAAAAAATAATTTTATACAAAATTAAAAATTTTATTTAAAAAAAAATTTTTTTTTTAAGTTTAGGAAATAAGTGAAAGTTTGTTTTCAATGTCATCTTTATTTTTCTTTTCAATCTCGGCTTTAGGTTGGTTGTGATTATGTATTTTTTAAAAGGTTACTTTATTATTGGTGTGGTTTTGTGGGTTTTATCTAAAACACGAGTATTTTAGTTTTATCCTTGGAAATTGATTTTTAAAACTGATTTATCTAAACCTGAACTATCATATATTATATGAGGATGATGATGAAACTATTATTTTAACTATTATTGTTATTTCTGTACTTTCTGTCCAATCTTAATTTCAGTATTTCAGCAGATATCTGATATTAAATTAAATTAAAAAATTTAAAAAAAAAAAAAGAAATATTGTTAAAGCCAATCAAGTTTGCGTAATTTTATTGCAACTTCATGAAAGGATTTTTTTTTTTTATTTTTAATTATTTGTTTTAAAGGTTTGAATTTTATTTAAAAAATAAAACTGTTTTTTTTTTTTTTCAAGTTACTATCAATTTGATTTTAATGTCACAAATTTAACTCTATAATTAACTATATTTTTAATCTCTTTAAAGAAATCTTTAAAGAAAAAAAAATAAAAAAAAGGGGTTAATAAAAAACATAATTTTTTTTTTTGAACATTATAAAAAAAAAAAAAACAAAATAGGGGTTAATAAAAAACAAAACAAAAGAAGATAATTTGTAAATTGGAATAAATTTTTTTTTTTTGAAACATTAAAAAAAAAATATAATATTTAAAAAAAAAAACAGTTCATCAAAAAAATTGTATAATTAACTTTCATTTTTTTTATTAAATACAGATAGAAATCAAATACAAAATGGCCACAGTTAGTGATGTATGTAGACAAATTGAAGAAGAAGTTGTATGTATATAATTAATAGTTTTATTTAATTTAATTTGATTAAAATATTTTTCTAACCAAAATATTATATTTTTAAAGGAAGACATGTCAGAAAAATATGACAAAGATGGAGACAGAAGTTTAACTCGTAGTGAAGTTATTGAATACTTTAAGGAAAATAAGGTTAAGAACCCAAATATAAACGCTGCAATGATCTTTAAATGTTTAGATGTCAATAGAGGTAATAACATAATATATTTATTTACAATTTAATAAATTAAAAGTTTTTAATAAAATTTTAATTTTTGTATTTGTAGATGACACTATTTCAGTTGATGAAATTAGACAAAATATCACCAAATTAAATAAAAAGAATTTAGAAGATGCTATTACAAGTGATGTAAACCTATTTTTATGAAAATTTGATAAAAATGGGGATAAAAATATCCCATATGATGAAATGGTTGAAGGCTTTATTAAATCTTCAAATTTGGATAAAAAAAGTAAAATTTTCAAATTTATAATTTAATTGAATATAATAAAACTAATTGATATTTTATTTATTAGCTGCTCAAGACACTGCAGATTTTTTTTTCAATCAAATTGATACTGATAAAGATAGGGTTTTGACTGTTGCTTACAAAAGTAAGTAATAAAATAATTTATTCTAGTTATACTTTGAAAAATATAATTAAAGTTTTTTAAAATTTTTATAAATTTTAGTATTGTGGCACCCTTCCCTAAAAATAAAATAAATTATGGGAGTTTGTTTTGTAATTTGTGTTTATAAAAAAAAAAAAAAAAAAAAAAAAATGTTGGTACTATCGTTTTATTTTCCTTAATTAAAATAATTTGAGTTTAATAAGTTTTTATACTCGATCTCGCTTATCAATGGATGGTTTTTCTCCAGCAAAACCTTCACATTCATATATTGGTGCATTAACTCCACACTTTTTACAGTAAATATCTCTTTTAAATTTGCATCTTCTTGGTCCTGTTCTAAATTTACCACCTCTTCTACAACCACCAACGTTTCTCCATTCAGAAGTTTCCCATGTAAAAATTAGATTGCATGGTTGGCTATCCTTTTCTTTTGGTATATTTGAACACAATGAACTATCTGATACGGTTCCATCACATGAAACACAATCTACTCTTCTATATTGAACACCACACTCACCAGAGCATTCACCCCAATTTTGATATTCCCAATGATATGATCTTTTACCACATGATTCTGAATTTGTTGCAATTAATAAAATTGAAAAAATGAAAAAAATAATAATATTTTTCATTTTTTTTTAAAAGTTAAGCTTTAAAAAAAAAAATTTTATTCACCAAAAAATATAACACAATTAAAAAAAAAATATATGTTTAAAAAAAAAAAAAAATTTTTAAGTTTTGAAAATAGGCAAAATTTTCTTTATTATTATAAAAATTTTTAAGTTTAGAAATTAAGTCTAAGAAATATTGTTAAAGCCAATCAAGTTTGCGTAATTTTATTGCAACTTCATGAAAGGATTTTTTTTATTTTATTTTTAATTATTTGTTTTATAGGTTTGAATTTTATTTGAATTAAAAAGGTTTTATGCTTAATCTCTTTTACGGGTAGATGGTTTTTCTCCAGCTAAACCATCACATACATATATTGGTGCATTAACTCCACACTTTTTACAGTATATATCTCTTTCAAAGTCGCATTTTTCTGTACCTGTTCTAAATTTACCACCTCTTCTACAACCACCAACGTTTCTCCATTCGGAAGTTTCCCATGTAAACTTTGGATTGCATGATTGGCTATCGATTTCTTTTGGTATATTTGAGCACATTGAACTATCTGATATGGTTCCATCGCATGCAATACAATCTACTCTTCTATATTGAACACCACACTCACCAGAGCATTCACCCCAATTTTGATATGCCCAGTGATATGATCTTTTACCACATGATTCTATATTATGAGGTTTGTTTCCGTCACAACAGACATCTTTTCTTGGTTGATTTGGTTTAGAATCTAATGCGCAATGAATTTCCCTTTTCCTATTTAATAAACAGTGACCGTCACAGGGACCCCATTGACCTTCTACCCATCTAAATTTACAAAGGTTTTGATTCTTTTGATGGAGTTCTTCTAATAATGGTTGGGTATCTGATTTGATTTTGTTGACAATTTGATTTGTTTTATCATTGTTTGGTGAACCTGCGATAAGTGTACAAATACCGACATTTAAACTCTTTAGATATGGTTTTAATCTTTCATCTAGTTTGGAAGGTTCACATCTGTTACTTGATGATTCGTAACATTCTTGATTGGATGTTTCAATTGGCAGTTGAGGTGTGACTTGGTTTCTAGTTTCTTGAATCCAATTGTTTGTAAATTGGTTTACTTGTTCTTCTACTAAGTTTGAGAAATCGCTTGAACTATAGGATGAAAATGCAGAAGCTGAAATTGATTTAAATATAACACCTTTTGATTCTTCAATGATTTTTAGAATGTCTGCACCATTAGCTTCTTTACCCATATAGATTTTACTTGATAATGAATTAATAACCATTGGTAAAACTTGATTTGAAATAGAGTATATTGCCCCAGCTTCTGAAGAGTAAGTAAGTTCATCCGGAATATCAACAGCATAGGAAAACTCTTCAAGGAAAAACTTGACTTCATTTCTTGTTGCAGTTAATACAACTGAAGACTTGGCACCATCGCCCCAAACTCTCTTGATTGTTTGAATACTTTCTTTGTATTTATCTTCTTTTTTGAAGTTGACTTCATTAAGGTAAGAATATAGTAATTTAGTTGTATCTAAACTATTGATTAATTCGGTTTTGTTGTCAAAATTTAAATTTAACTCTAATGCAAGGTTGGCACTGTTGCTAAAAATCAAATTGATCTTTGGGAAATCGGTCCATTTCTTGCTTGAAATACCATTTGTGTATGCCTTTTCGTTGGTGCTACATTCATCAAGTGAATTTTTGAATCTGTATAAAGATTCAAGAAAAGATGATAAAAGAGCTAATTTATTGATTAAGTATTCATTGATTTGAAGATGTTCGGTATATGAAAATGATGAGGTGATTGACATTAAAATAGTTTGGACTACATTTAAATGTCCAGCTGTCATTCCATCAGGGTCATTAGAGCCTTCACTGTCTAGTAATACAATTGTACCTTTTGAATCTAATTTTTTGATAGCAGATTTTAGTCTTGGTGATAAGTTTTCAGTGTCAATATCTGATATCTTGATTATCTGAGCCCAAATTCCTCTTGTACAGCCCCTCGATCCAACACATTTACCTTCGTTTGCTGATGTTTTTATCGTTTTTACTTGGAAAAGATCTAAATCACAATTGTCTTTAATTTCTTGTTTAAATAACATCATTGTATATAAATCTAACCTTGTTGATTTATGAGTTGAATAGTCACCAATTTCTGAATATGAATAAATAGGTGATGGTAGTTTTTTGAAAATATTGGCAGCAGATTCTGGGATAATAATTACATTGTCATCTCTAATATCGATTAATTGGAATGAAACCATTGGGCAAACAGTGGCACGGAATGGATCTTCTCCAGATATAATAGAATCATAAATTTTGCTAAGGGAATGTGGATAGATTGTTGACATAATGGATGGAACAACAACAAAAAAACTGAGGAAAACTATTAAAGTTACTCCTCTATTAATAAATATTAAGAGTATGAATGGTAATAATGCGATTGAAAATAAAATTAAAATATCAATTTTGGTGTAAATGGTTAAAATGATGTGCAATATTACGCTAAATATAAATACAAAGAATTTTATATTATGATCATCATTTTTCTTTTCAATTTTAATTGAAATTGTTAACACTAAAGCCACTACGATAAAACCAACAGTAAAAAATAATTTTTTAAAAGTGTTGAGACCTTCCAAAAACCAATGGATATCTTGACCAATTTCATTTAAAAACTTGTCGGTTAAGTTTTGCCATTTTTCAGATTCTTTTAGTGCTTTATCTATACCTTTATTAAATCTTTCTTCCATGTAGTCAATGGTTTGGAACTGACTTTCGACTAAAGATTCTTTGAGTATTAAAATAAGTTTTTTAGACTCTTCAAAAACAGCCATTCTTTCTTTCCCAATGCTATTAATAGATCCATCCATTAATTTTTCTGTTGATTCGACTGAAAATAAAGAAAAAATTATTTTATTAATAAAAGTTAAAATTATTTAATTAAAATAGTTTATATTTATACTTACTAACAGAAATAATTTTATCTTTGAGTGCAACGGTATCAAGTTCTTGAGACTCGAATGCATTTGATAATTCTGGAATTAATAGAGAAATTCTATTAAAACCATGATTAATATTCGTAGGGAGGCTCTTTGAGATTTCCTTTAATGTGTCTGAAAACTTATCAACACTTTTGATTTTACCAGAAAATAGAAATGATTCTGAAGTTGTTGTGAGTAATAAAATTAAAAAAATGAAAAATTTAATATTTTTCTTCCTTTTTTTTAAAAATTAAACTTTGAAAAAAAAAAAGGGAAAATTTGAAATTTGGGTGGAATAAAAAAAAAAATTAAAAAAAAAAAAAAAAAAAAAAAAAAAAAATTTTATTAAGTTTAGAATATTTTTAAGTTTAGAATATTTTTAAGTCTAATTTCCAGGCTATAATTTCCCGGCTTTTATGAATTCCTCCCAAATGAAAAAAAAAAAAAAAAAAAAAATAAAAAAAAAAAAAAAAAATGAAAAAAAAAACTGTAAAAAACTTTTTTTTTTTTTCCCATATTATTTTTTGATGATTTTTGAATATATTGGTTATTTTGGGGTTTTTTTTAATTTTTTTTGCATATTAAATTTTTTTTTTTTAATAATTTTAATATTATTATTCATTGTAACATCAATGTTATTATTTCTAATCCCTAAATAACAATTAATAAAAAATTCAAATTTACATTATATTGTGTGATATCTTTTTAAAACATTATCTAAGGAATTTCCTGTTTAAATTTATATCTTAAAATATTGCTTGTCGAAAATCTTTTAATTTTAGAAAATACATTTTGAATTTTATTTTGTTGTTTAATATCTTATTTTTACCACCTACTTCAATAACACAATATCATTTTACAATCTGCAATACCTTTCCACTTTTTGGACAACAATAAACCAATAAGGTTAAAGCTGATTTACTTTATTTACAACTATAAAATAAATTTCTAATATCTTTATTAATTGGTATGCTAAATTGTTATTTCAAACCATAAACCACCATTAAAAAAACATCAAAATAAAAAACAACAAGATATAATTCAAAAATCAATCAGGATAATTGCCAGAAAAGTATTTGCTTGAATTAAAAGATTTTCAATGACAAGCAATACTTTAAGATATAAAGTAAACAATCATACTGGGCAAATTAAAAGGAAAAGAGAAAAATTTATTTGATGGCGTTTAAATTTATATCACAAAATAGATCCTATTGTTGTTTTTGATAATTTAAAAATATTTTATTTTTCTTAATAATTTAATAAAACTGTTAAATTAATAAGGAATTTTCATATAGATAATATGAATCAATGGTATGTACAGTTGTAGTTTAGTGATTAAAAATAATTAAATAGGTTACAATGAATAATTATAAAAAAATTATTGAAAAAAAACTGTAGATACTCCAAGAATTTTAAGACATTGTTTCACCTTTGGCAAAAGATATTTTTAAAAGTTATTTTAATAATAGACTTGATAATAGCAATAAAATAGAATTCATGTACCATTAAAATCATATGAGTGCAACCACAGTGGTCGTAGATGGCTCAGAATAACAAATTAGTATACCAATTGATAATGAAAAGCAATTCTTTAAGATATAATTCTAAACATTAAGGAACTTTTTATTTTGAAATATTATCAAAATATTATGATATAGTGTATATGTGCATTTTTAATTATTTGTTATTCCAGAAATTAGAAATAATAACATCGAGGACAATGAATTATTAATTAAATAGTTAAAAAAAAAAATTATTACATATAAAAAAATTAAAAAAATTAAAAACCCAAAAACAACCAAATTACCAAAAAATTTATATGAAAAAAAAAAAAAAAAAATTGAGTTTTTTTTTTTTTTTTTTTTTGTTTTTTTTTTTTTTTTAGTTTTTTTTTTTTTGCATTTTGGAGGAATTCATTATAAAAAATAAAATTATTTTATTTTTAATAAAAAAATTGGTATTAAGTATTATCTTTTAAATTTAAAAGAATTAAAATTAAGTTTCGTCAGATAAGAATATTTTTTTTTATTTTTTTTTTTTATAATATCTAAAATATTTTTTTTACTTTTTTTTCACAGATAATTTTTAAAAAAAATGAAGAATAATATTAAATTTTTCATTTTTTTAATTTTATTACTCACAACAACTTCAGAATCATTTCTATTTTCTGGTAAAATCAAAAGTGTTGATAAGTTTTCAGACACATTAAAGGAAATCTCAAAGAGCCTCCCTACGAATATTAATCATGGTTTTAATAGAATTTCTCTATTAATTCCAGAATTATCAGATGCATTCGAGTCTCGAGAAATTGATACCGTTGCACTCAAAGATAAAATTATTTCTGTTAGTAAGTATAAATATAAACTATTTTAATTAAATAATTTTAACTTTTATTAATAAAATAATTTTTTCTTTATTTTCAGTCGAATCAACAGAAAAATTAATGGATGGATCTATTAATAGCATTGGGAAAGAAAGAATGGCTGTTTTTGAAGAGTCTAAAAAACTTATTTTAATACTCAAAGAATCTTTAGTCGAAAGTCAGTTCCAAACCATTGACTACATGGAAGAAAGATTTAATAAAGGTATAGATAAAGCACTAAAAGAATCTGAAAAATGGCAAAACTTAACAGACAGTTTTTTAAATGAAGTTGGTCAAGATATTCATTGGTTTTTAGAAGGTCTCAACATTATTAGAAAAATTATTTTTTACTGTTGTTTTTACCATAGTGGCATTTGCTTAATAAAAAATGTAACAATTTCAATTAAAATTAAAAAAAATATTAATCAAAATATAATATACTTTGTATTTAATTTTAGCGTAATATTTTTCATCACTTTAATAACCATTATCCATAGAAAGGATATTATAGTTTTATTATCAATCGCATTGTCACCACTCCTCAGTATTTTTGTTTTTGGTTCATCCATTATACCAACAATCAGACCACATATCCTTAGCAAATTATCTAATTCAATTATTTCTAATATTAGAGATAACAATGAAATTATTATCCCAGAGCCTGCTGCCAATATTTCCAAAGAACCACCACCTCTTTATGTATACTCAGAAATTGGTGACTGTTCATCTCATAAATCAACAAGATATTATTAAAATAAAAAAAAAAAATATAAAAAAAAAATTTTATTTTGAAATTAAGTCAAATTTTCTTCATCATTTTGATTTTGGCTAAAGTGCCAAAGAGTTAGAAGAACAAGTTAACCAATTTACAAACAATTGGATTCAAGAAACTAGAAACCAAGTCGCACCTCAACTACCAATTGAAACATCAAATCAAGAATGTTACGAATCATCAAGTAACAGATGTGAACCTTCCAAACTAGATGAAGATTAAACCATATCTAAAGAGTTTAAATATCGGTATTTGTACACTTATCGCAGGTTCACTAAATAATGATAAAACAAATCAAAATGACAACAAAATCAAATCAGATACCCAACCATTATTAGAATAACTCCATCAAAATAATCAAAACCTTGTAAATTTAGATGGGTAGAAGGTTAATGGGGTCCCTGTGACATTCACTGTTTATTAAATAGGAAAAGGGAAATTCATTGCGTATTAGATTCCGAAACCAAATCAATCATTTTTTCAAATTTTTAAATGAGAAACTTCCAAACGGAGAAATGTTGGTGGTTGTAGAAAAGGTGGTAAATTTAGATTCAGAACAGGAACATGAAGCAACTTTGAAAGAGATATTTACTGTAAAAAGTGTGGAGTTAATGCACCAATATATGTATGTGATGGTTTGCTGGAGAAAAACCACACACCCATGCACCTATAAAAATATAAAACCTATTATATTCAAACAAAATAGTTAATTGTAATAAAATATTTTAAATAATATTTTAAAAAAAAATAATATTCTAAAAAAAAAAATATTAATAAATAGAAATTAAGTCTTGGCAGAAAATTCTATATTTTGATTCATTATTTAATTTATTTATATTGTTTTAAAAAAAAAAAAAAAATAAAAAAATAAAAAACGTGAGTATATATTAAGAAAATTAAGCTTAATTTCGAAACAAAAATATTTTTTTATTTTTTTTTTTTATTTTTTTTTTTTGGCAATATCTGAATTTTACTTTTTTTTTTTTCATAGTTTAATTTTTAAAAAAATGAAAGATGCTTTTATTTTTTTAATTGTTTTTGTATCATTTCTATTTCTATTTCTATTTCTATTTCCTGATGGATACGAAAGTTTATTTAAGTTTTCAGATACATTAAAAGAAATCTCAAAGAACCTACCTGCGAATATTAATCATGATTTTAATAGAATTTCTAAATTAGTTCCAGAATTATCAGAAGCATTCGATTCAAATTCAAATATCTTTGAACTCAAAAATGAAATTATTTCTGTTAGTAAGTATAAATATAAACTATTTAATTAATTAAATTCAACTTTTATTAATAAAATAATTTTTTTCTTTATTTTCAGTCGAATCAACAGAAAAATTAATGGATGGATCTATTAGTAGCATCGAGAAAGAAAGAATGGCTGTTTTTGAAGAGTCTAAAAAACTTATTTTAATACTCAAAGAATCTTTAGTCGAAAGTCAGTTCCAAACCATTGATTACATGGAAGAAAGATTTAATAAAGGTATAGATAAAGCACTAAAAGAATCTGAAAAATGGCAAAACTTAACCGACAAGTTTTTAAATGAAATTGGTCATGATATTCATTGGTTTTTAGAAAGTAATAACACTGTTAAAAAATTATTTTTTACTGTTGTTTTTATCGTAGTGGCTTTAGTGTTAACAAATTCAATTAAAATTGAAAAGAAAGATGCTAATCAAAAAATAAAATTCTGTTTTATTTTTAGCGTAATATTTTTCATCATTTTAACCATTTACACCAAAATTGATATTTTAATTTTATTATCAGTAGCATTGTCACCACTCTTAATATTTAATAGAACAAAAACTTTAATAAATTTCCTCAATTTTTTGGTTGTTGGTTCATCCATTATGTGGACAATCTGTCCACATTCCCTTAGCAAAATTTATGATTTTATTATATCTGGAGAAGATCCATTCCATGCCACTGTTTGCCCAATGGTTTCATTCCAATTAATCGATATTAGAGATGACAATGTAATTATTATCCCAGAATCTGCTGCCAATATTTTCAAAAAACTACCATCACCTATTTATTCATATTCAGAAATTGGTGACTATTCAACTCATAAATCAACAAGGTTAGATTTATATACAATGATGTTATTTAAACAAGAAATTAAAGACAATTGTAATTTAGAGCTTTTCCCAGTAAAAACGATAAAAACATCAGCAAACAAAGGTAAATGTGTTGGATCGAGGGGCTGTACAAGAGGAATTTGGGCTCAGATAATCAAGATATCAGATATTGACACTGAAAACTTATCACCAAGACTAAAATCTGCTATCAAAAAATTAGATCCAAAAGGTACAATTGTATTACTAGACAGTGAAGGCTCTAATGACCCTGGAGGAACGACTGCTGGACATTTAAATGTAGTCCAAACGATTTTAATGTCAATCACCTCATCATTTTCATATACCGAACAACTTCAAATCAATGAATACTTAATCAATAAATTAGCTCTTTTATCATCTTTTCTTGAATCTTTATATAGATTCAAAAACTCACTTGATGAATGTAGCACCAACGAAAAGGCATACACAAATGGTATTTCAAGCAAGAAATGGACCGATTTCCCAAAGATCAATTTGATTTTTAGCAACAGTGCCAACCTTGCATTAGAGTTAAATTTAAATTTTGACAACGAAACCGAATTAATCAATAGTTTAGATACAACTAAATTACTATATTCTTACCTTAATGAAGTCAACTTCAAAAAAGAAGATAAATACAAAGAAAGTATTCAAACAATCAAGAGAGTTTGGGGCGATGGTGCCAAGTCTTCAGTTGTATTAACTGCAACAAGAAATGAAGTCAAGTTTTTCCTTGAAGAGTTTTCCTATGCTGTTGAAATTCCGGATGAACTTACTTACTCTTCAGAAGCTGGGGCAATATACTCTATTTCAAATCAAGTTTTACCAATGGTTATTAATTCATTATCAAGTAAAATCTATATGGGTAAAGAAGCTAATGGTGCAGACATTCTAAAAATCATTGAAGAATCAAAAGGTGTTATATTTAAATCAATTTCAGCTTCTGCATTTTCATCCTATAGTTCAAGCGATTTCTCAAACTTAGTAGAAGAACAAGTAAACCAATTTACAAACAATTGGATTCAAGAAACTAGAAACCAAGTCGCACCTCAACTGCCAATTGAAACATCAAATCAAGAATGTTTAGAATCATCAAGTAACAGATGTGAACCTTCCAAACTAGATGAAAGATTAAAACCATATCTAAAGAGTTTAAATGTCGGTATTTGTACACTTATCGCAGGTTCACCAAATAATAATAAAACAAATCAAATTGTCAACAAAATCAAATCAGATACCCAACCATTATTAGAAGAACTCCATCAAAAGAATCAAAACCTTTGTAAATTTAGATGGGTAGAAGGTCAATGGGGTCCCTGTGACATTCACTGTTTATTAAATAGGAAAAGGGAAATTCATTGCGCATTAGATTCTAAACCAAATCAACCAAGAAAAGATATCTGTTGTGATGGACATAAACCTCCCAATATAGAATCATGTAGTAAAGGATCATATAATTGGGGATACCAAAATTGGGGTGAATGCTCTGGTGGGTGTGGTGTTCAATATAGAAGAGTAGATTGTGTTTCATGCAATAGAACCGTATCAGATAGTTCAATGTGTTCAAATATACCAAAAGAAAAGGATAGCCAACCATGCAATCCAATTTTTACATGGGAAACTTCCGAATGGAGAAAAGTTGGTTGTAGAAAATATGCTAAATTAAGATTCAGAAAAAGAGTAAGATGCAACTATGAAAGAGATATATACTGTAAAAAGTGTGGAGTTAATGCACCAATATATGTATGTGAAGGTTTGGCTGGAGAAAAACCATCTACCTATAAGGTAGATCTAGAATAAAAACTATTAAATTCAAAAAAACTCAAACAAAATAATTAATTGTAATAAAAAAAATAAAATATTAAAATATGTAAAATATGTAAAATAATATTTTAAAAAAAAAACTAATAAGTATAGAAATTAAGTCTAATTTTCCTGGCTAATATAATTTTATTTTTAATAAATTTTTTTTTATTTATTTATTTTAAACCATTGTTATAGTCTTCATCTAAAATTTTAAAAAGAGTTAAAATTGCTCGTTTTGAATTTTCCAACTCTTCAGGTTTGACTCTAATATTTACTTGATCATAAATGTTCTTTAAAAACTCTTTATTTTTTCTTATTAATGTTCCCTCTTCTTCGTGTTTTGGGTTACCTCTAATATTTAGATTTGATTTCTCTTCATTTACAATCATTTCATCAATTAAATTTTTAACCTTGTCATAATCTTCTTTACATTTTGTACATGAGATTTGTAAATCCTTTCTGACCAGTGCCATTGTATCTTGATATGCTTTGCCATACTTGTACCAAAATTCTGGTTGCATTCTATTATCCAAACCTGATCTTGCTAAATAAATATATGTATTTCTAATTGTATTTAGCTCTATATGTAATAAATCCTAATTAAAAAACCATAATTAATAATTTTGTTATGTAATATTGTAATATTGTATATTTATACTTTACTGTTTGGATATTTTTAAATTTTGGTAAGTTTTGTTGTAAAAATGTATAGTATAATGATTTCATATTCTTTTTTATTGTATCTTGATAGTGCGAAGTAGTTGGTAACAGCATGACTGCTTTTAAATGCTTATCAAAATCTTTAAATAATACAGCCAGGTCATTTTGAAGTATAATAACTTCATTGTAAACCTGGGAAAATGTATCTCTGTTGTTTTTTGATGCCAATTTGAAATCAGTTACAGATGATGCTAAATATTCAAAACTTGGTAATGATCCTAATATAGATCGCTTAACAAGAGTAATTTCATTATATAGTTGTAGAATTGGTTCATTGACAGATTTTTCGCAACCAAAATGAAACCTTCTTTTAATTTCCTCTTTTGTGACTATTAAATGACATCTTGGACAATATGATCTTACTTGGCCATCTTTTAAAACACCAGTAATATCTTTACTTGATAAAATTTTTAAACATCCATTACAAAAATTAATATTACATAAACTACATTGATATTTTGATGTAAATAGACCAAATGCTTTACTATAATTTTAAAAAAATTAGTATACTATAATTATAAATTTATAATAAAAACATTGTTTAATTACTTACCCACAATTTAAACAGTTTGGTTTATCAGTTAGTTTTTCTTGTGGTTTATGTATTGGTGGGGGTATATTTAATGGTTTTATAGTACCAATATTATTATTACTATTGAAATTGTTATTAATGGCTGGTACGGAATCGTTTCCTCTTTTTATAAAATTGATAGTTGGAAATGAAGAGGATGGTGAGTTACTTGCTCTATCGTGTATATATGCTAAAAAATCCCTTTTATCAATTTGTTTTTTCCATTCTTTTACTTCTTCTTTAACTCTGTAATATTCTTCTGTTCTATCTCTTATCATTATAACACTGTTTTAAAAATATGTATAAATCATACAACACACAACACACAACAATATTTAAAATATTATATTACAATTACACACAATCGAAATATTATTTATTTTTAATTAATCATTATTAAATTAAAAAAAATAATAAAAAAATAAAAAGATTTTTAAGTAAACAAAAAAAAAAATTAAAAAAAATAAAAAAAATAATTTAAAAAATAAAATTTAATTTTTTATAAAAGTAAAAATTTAAGTAAAAAAAGATAAAGAAAAAACATTGAAAGATATATATAAATATCGTGATTAATTTACAAAAATTTTAAATTATTTAATTTTATTTTATTTTAATATTCTGATAATAAAAAAAAAAAAGTAAAAAATAAAAAATTTATCTTTTCATATTGATTAAATCATTTATTTGTCTTATATTATCTGTTTCGACCAACCAATCCTATAAAAAAAAAGAAAAAAAAAATTAGAAAGTTGTTTATATATATAATACCATTATTTTTATAATGTAAATATTTACTTGAAATTTAGATTCGATTAAATGTAGTAAAGTTGCTTTAGTTTTTGGATCGTTTGTAGTTTGAGCTATTAATTTGTGTAATGCATGAACTGAGTTTGATTTATTTGCTAAACATGTACTATACTCATTTGGTAATTCACATGGATTTGATTTGGTTTTTCCTTTAATTAAAAATGGTACAACAAATGGGAAAAATTCCTCTGGATCTAAAATCGAGTAAATCTCGGTTGTTTCTTCGTGAATATTATTAGTGTCATCTACATTGAGTAAATTATTTGGAGGAATTTGAAGAAGGTCACTGGTTGTGGTAGTTGTGGTTGTAGTTGTGGTTGGTGAGTTGGATTGTAATAATGGTGAGTTTAATGGTGAAAATAATTTAAATATTGATGGATTGTTCCATTGATTATTTTCCAAATCGACCAATAGTTTTGATGTGGCTATTTGAGTATCTAAGTTTGGATAGTGTGTGTTATAGGGTGCTAATTTGATGTTGTGACAATCTGAAGATATTATTGGTTTTTCATTTGAACATATGAATAATGATATATTATTTGATGACCTAAAAAGAAAAAAAACAATATTAATATTTACTTCCAAAAGCAAAAAGTTGTCACATTAAACTTACTTTATTTTAATTCCTTTTGTAATCGAAATTAAAGTTACTTTAGAGCAATTACTGATCTCTATTAAACCAACGCATGGTCCTAAAACTATAATACAATCATGGCAGTTATTAATATTGCCCAAAGCAATATTTACCAATATATAAATTTGTGATTTTTTATTATTATTTATATTTAATTTGACCGATAGACCATTGGTTGGTGTTGCTCCGCTAGTATTATTATTTGTGCAATTTGAGCCATTTAAAACTGGTGAATTTAGATTTGTTAATATTGGTGAAAGTGTATTATTTAATGTATCTTTATATGCATTATAAGGTAATTTGGTTGGTGATTGGTGATATCCCTTTAAAAATGGTGAATCTGAATTTTCATTTACATTAATTATACCATTGGGTGCACTAATAAAGTCCTGTTCTATTTTTAATATTGTTTTTTTACATTGATTTATAACATTACAAATTGAATTGCTGTGATCAAAAAAAAATAAAAAAAAAAGTTAATATAATTATAAATATATCAATATAATATTAAAAAAAAAAAACTTACAATTGATTCATAATCATTTTTAACTTCCCCTTTTTATTTAGAGAATATAATTTATATTTTATAATATATATCTATGCTGAATGTATTTTTATTTATCTATTTATTTTTTATAGGTTCTATATTACATTGGGGTGGTTTATTTCTTTTTTTTTTTTTTTGTAAGTGGTATATACCAAAGATAAAATGATTGTGATAAATGTAATAAAAAAAAAAATGATAATTAATTTAAAAAAAAAAATTTTAAAAAAAATAAAATTAAAAAAAATAATTTTAAAAAAAAATAATTTTTAATTTTTTTTATTTTCTTAATTATTATAAAAATTTTGAATATTTATTATAATTTACATATAAACAGACTATTTATAAAATTTTTTAATAATTATTTTTAATTTTTGATTTCTTATAGGCAATATCAAAAATTATAATAAGGGAAATACCTCACAAAAGCAATTATATAAAAATTTGGGATTTTTAGGGTTAAAATGGGACTTTTAAAATTAAAAATCAACCTTAAATTTTTTTTTTAATTTTTGAAAAAAAAAAAACAAAGTAAGTTTTTATTTATCTAAATTTTTATTATCCCCGAGAATTCAATTCCTGTTTCTAAACCCCCCAAAAAAGAGGGGGTTGGAAATTAA